CCTTCTCTCTTCATTCTTTCTACTGTATAGCTAATTGTAACAGCCAGAAATGACCCCACGGTGTGGATCCACAGAGAAAAGACCTTATACAAGCATAGGAAGTGTTAACGGTCCTGTGCTGTATGTCTTACAAGCAGGATTGACAAAAATATAAGTATTCTAAAATATTATGTTGCATATAGTGATTCCCCCTTTGAGACAGGCAGTTGTTGCCATGGATTATTTAGTTAACCTGTTCTCATTTTTGTCATGTAAATGTCTTAGGGTAAACAAGAGCTGTGACACAGAACATGATATTTGGTACAGTACATCAAGCATCACAAAAGAGAATATATAGAAGGACCTGATTCGGGGTCATTAACAGGACTCTACTACCTTACACTTTGCAGAGTCATTTTTACCTATCAGAATGGGTGTGACATATTGTGAAATTTGAAACTCTCAAAGTTGATGTTGCTCTTGCTCAGGTGTAAATGCTTGTACAAGCTTCAAGGCACTGAGAACTTGAAGCAATTTGTTCAAGCCTGCTCTTCAGGACCTTTTCAACAATGGTCAGTACTAACTCTTGAAAGGGTGTATCTTTTTCCATCTTCAGACCAGGGGCAGATCTAGAGGGGGCATCATGGCATGGTTATGCCGCCCTCTCAGACCATACTGCAGGAGCAACAGTGGGGACTTTAATTAAATTGCCAGCTAGGGTAAGCTTTCCCTCTTCCCTTCCCCTCCATGTTCATTTGCACATCCCCTCCTGTCCACTCCTATTTCACCACCGTTGCTGATGGAAGGGAGTCAGGCTCAGCTGGTGACAGCAGCAGCAGCAGGCAGGGAAGGGGCAAATGGTAAGGGAGGGGAGAAGACATGCAACTGAGCATGGAGGGAAATGGAGGAGGCTCTGAGAGCAAGGACAGGATTCTTACCTGACTTGAAGACTTAAAGTCCATGGCTGTTGCTCCTGTAGCATGGTCAGCCTGTCCTGGTTGCTGGGATGGAGAAGGAGGGAACTGAGACCTTCCGCTCCCTAGGGGTACCAGTCACTGCTCCTGCACCTGCCCTTTACAAAATCCTAAATCTGCCCATGGCACTAACCTTCAGACAAAAGTTAGTGAGGAGCGGACATGGAATCATATATGCCAACTCTGGTACAACGAGACATACTAGTCATGCTAGCCAATTCATCATCACACCCTCCGTTAAATTTAAGAGACTGGATCCAAAGCCCACTGCAGCCATTCATTTTGACCCAGGCCCCCAGAGTAAATTTACTTGTATTATGAGGAGGGGAGTACTAAATAGAAGTCTCCCAGAACCCTCTTCCTTCATACAGGTTTGCTGAGGTGACTATGTTTTGAACAATCATTACATCCTCTTTCATGTGTAAAGAGTAGAGTCTTCTGTTGAAAGGGACAGTGCCTAGAAGAGTCCGTGTACCATTCTTTGTTTATTGTGTACCTGAGATTTGCTCAGTTTACAAATAAGAAACAGCTTATTGTAACCTCCCGTCTTGTAAATGCAACTTCAGCCCTGACAGCTAAGTCAGGTCCATGCTTCTTAGGTCACAGCATCAGTAATAATAATCCTTCAAATCAAATTGTGCCCTCATTTACAGTAATGCAATCTCACAGTCTCCAAATTATACCCTCAAGTATACTGCAAAGGTACTTAATGATCTTGAAAAGGCAGTGTAGTCTGAGAAGGGGAAGGTTTTTGCTTACACACCATTTTTTCTGAAAATAGTGTATCAGCTGCATGTGTGCAGTATCCATTCCAAGTACTTACTGAAATTAATAACACATAAGCTGCTTCAGATGCATTGCCAATAACAAGTTGTCTGTGTATGCTGAATTCTGGATGGAATGGAGGGTTGGAAATTTGCGAAGATGAACTGTACTTTATTTCAATATGACTGAATCAGTCACTGGATTTTTTTTCCAAGCACTTAGGGCAAGATTTTCCTTTCTGCATGGAGTTTGTCTGTACCTTAATTTTTACCTTAATTCTTCTTGATCCATTTTGAATTGGGTTTATTTGACTCACCAGCTAAACTTAATGAAGAGGAAAATTCCCTGAGTCAAGCTAAAATAGCTATGTCATCCCTTTCTTACTTATCCCTATGTGTAGTGCCCTCTTTTTCCCCTTTCTGGAGCAACTATTCCTATCTCCACCTGCTCTTTCATTTCCCAGAGATGTGCCAGTGGTTTTCCAGACAGTAGCTCCATTAACTACTTGCCCTTTATGCCACTCATTTCATTTTCCCTTTGTATAAAACTCTGTTTAAAATCATTTTAAAAAGAGGGTGGAATGTCACAGAATCATAGAAAATTAGGGTTGGAAGGGACCACAGGAGTCATCTAGTCCAGTGTCATTTACATCTACAACACCATGTAAATATCTCAGGGATCCATCCCTTGGTGACATTACCTGGATTTATATGGCAAAAGTAATGAAATTTTGGACTGTAATGCAATGAATGGATTATACAAACCCCTAAATTCAGTAGTTCTTTTTCAGGTCTGACAGTTACAATGTAGATACTATATTTTTTTATTTACTAATCTAATTATAATCTAATACGTGCATTGCTTCATTGTATTTTTGTGCAAGAGATATCATAGGATCATAGGAAAATAATGGCAGAAGGGACCTCATGAGGTCATTTCATCCAGCCCCCTGCTCAAGGCAAAATCATCCCTGACTAAACCATCCCAGCCTAATGTCTGTCTAACCTGGTCTTGAAAATTTACAAGGCTGGAAACTGACTGCCTCTGGTCTTGACCATCTTCTCCTTCTCTAGTTCTTCCTTAAACAAGGAGTGAGATGGTCACCTATATACAGTAAAAGCTTTGTTATGCAGTATGAGAGGAGTAAGGGGGGTAACGGTTATCTAAAAATTCCAGTTATCCGAGTTGGGGGTCTTGGTCAGACATAGGTGGGGAGAAAGGATAACTTAGATGAGGATTTCAGGATGCTGAAAGTCTTGATCTAACAAAGGTGCCTAACTCAGGGGGAAAGGAGTTGCAGAAATCTGGGAAAAAGATGGGATTTCAGATTAATTTCTCTTTTCAGCATTTCCTGTTGGCTAGATTTGGCATTTCTCTATACTGACGAACCAAGGCACAGGGCAATGGTGAATCAGTGTCAATATACTAGTACTTATACAGCCCTATAATTTTTGTAAAACTTTATAGTGTAACAATGACCTGTCTGAAAAAGGAAAATCTGAAAAAGGAAAATCCTCTTTCTGCATTTAGGAAGAATGAAGCATACATATAAACACAACATGAACTTCATAAGCTTAGATAGGCATACAGGATAAACAATTATCATATTTGGCAGATGCAGCTGGATCTACACGTACAGAACTACCAGAACCAACAAAAACAGGTAACTTTGATCTTGCCGTCCTCATAGACTTAAAACGACATAGGTGGGAGTTTCAGGCTCACAAGGTGTAATGGACTGGACTTATGATGTAAACTGTTCTTGCCCATGGCAAACAGATCATTGTTCTTTGGATTCTTATTTACACAAAGGCCACTTCAAACTTCTTTGGCAATGGCAAAGATAAAATTGACTAATACATTATTTATAGTTAATTTAAAGCATCTTTGTATTGCCAGGTTGATGTAAAGCAGCCTTAGTGAGAAGAAAAAACAGGTCTACAATTTTAGCTTTAACACAACACAGTTGCAGGTACTTTAGAATTGATCTGTCTAAATACCACACTACAGCCAAGTGGACCAGGCACTGTGTCTTCAAACGTGCTGAGCTATTCTGCATTGGCTGCCTCCTAAAGCACAAACTGTCAGTAGTAGCAAGGAGCTCAACCAGAGGGCTGGGCACATGTGGCTAAACTGAGCAGGGCTGTCCAACTTCTAAGTGGCCAGGGCTGCACGTCCCATGGACAACATCAACAGGCCTGTACACCCAACAGGCAGCACTAAGGTAAACCACAGGCATGCAGGCTGCACATTGCATAGACACCTTCCTCCAGTGCTGCACTGTCCAGGTGCCCCTTCCTGCAGCATCATGTGCATGTGTGAGCACACCCACACCCCACACCCCGCCCTGTACTGCAGGCCTACATATCCTCAGCCTCATTCTCAGCTCTACACACTGCCCTGAAGTGCTCTGCCCCCTGGCAGAGGTACAGAAAGCAGAAGCCAGCAGAGGGATACTGGAGTAATGTGGGGAGTGGTGGCCAGGAGGGAACCAGGGGGGCTGCAACTTATCCCCTTGTGGATCACATACTTGCAGAAAGAGCAAACCTTTCCAGCATTTAAGAACTGAAGCAGAGACCTTAACAACTTGAGCAAATTAAAGACAAGGCTCAGGACAGGATTGGTTAACAACAAAAGATCCCCACTTATGCACTTGATGGTACAAGTAGATTGCATTGGGTAGAAAGAAGGCTATTTAAAAAAAAATAAGGATAAACATTTCAATGTACTTTTGATGAAGAGTTCACATACCAAATGAATCGAACTGATACCACATGTAGCATAACCTTGGAACTTCAGTAAGCTCTCCCAGCAAATCGTCCTGAATTATTTTATCTTTCACATTGCTTTCTATTGTAATTGAGACAAAATTTCATTTATGGACATGAAGTCACATGGTAATGAATTAATCTACCTTAATTTTCAAAGATACTCATCTTTGAGTAAACAGCAATTAATGTTCTCTTTCTTCCCTCCTGCTTCTCTCAGTGAAGCTAGAAGTCTTAACAATTTAATGGCATGAGAAGGGATGACAACAGCATACCTTCTTTCTTTCTAATATTGTATGATATTATACATACAGACACTGCTCTCCATTTGGTAAGGGTCAGTTTTGTAATGGCAATCTAACACTAGAACACTGGGTTTTTTTCTGTAAGAAATAACACCAACAACTTAAGAGAAACTGAAAGATAGGGTAATTAACATTTATCTACAGAAAATATGCATGAGAAGTGAAAACTATCACAGACATTTTTTACAGCAAGTTAAAAAGGCAGCTTGGAAAAAAATAGTGGTTAAAATTATCTTGATTTCTTTAACTTTAATGAGTTCAAAGAAGCTAAACAAAGACACAGAAGAGTTGCACTTCGCTGTGTACAATACAGTTTAAAGTTTTATACCTGAGCAAAAGAAATGTAACTATTAACTACAACATGCAGAGTTAATTGGTTAATATATGCAAACTGAGGATACTGGTACTAGATTACACTTCGTTTCTAATCTTAGAGTGTGAAAATGGAAAAAGCTTCACAACAAAACGTGCAAGACAAAACCACAAACACTGAAAAGCATATTATCATAGCAGCCTTCCTAAACTTTCAAATTCTCTCCCACTTTATTATTGTGGAATAAAGCAGGAACAATTCAAAGCCTGTAGAGGTAATAATACTTTAGAAGCTTCAGCAGTACCTGAAAGACCAAACATGAACAGCTCCCTCAATTTAAAAAGTGTTCATGGACGACCCAAGCCTGCATTCACTACATGCCCAAAATTGCCACCTGAAAGCATTGGTCTATTTAGCTATTTCTAATGCAGAATGAAATGTCTGTGTGCACTATGAATGCAGGATCAGGCAGGGCCGACCTTATGGGTGGGCTATGTGGGTAGTACATGTACAAACACACACACACACACACCACACATGCACGCAAACACACGAGCAGCCAACGCTTATAGCAGCACTCTTCCCCCCCCCTGGCCAATCCCCACCCCAGGCAGGAGGAATGGTGCCCAGCCCAGCCTGCCCCTCACCTCCAGCCACTGCGCAGAAGGAGCCAAGCCAGGCACGTGCAAGCAGAGTGCCCCCTGCTCCAGTCCGCTTGCCTTGCTCGTGCACAGCAGCAGCAGTGCCTGCCCACCCATCTGCCTGGTAAACCATGCTGCTCCACCTCCCCGCTGGACTACACCCTGCATCCCTGCCCACCTGCCTCTGCGTGCAGCAGTGCCACTGACTCAGGGCGGGGAGCCAAAATACAAGTTTGCCCAGGAGGCCATTTTCCCTAGGGCCAGCCCTGGGATCAGGTCCCAGATTTAAAATTTTCTCTTCATCTTACCCTTAGTTAGTTATAAGGAAGTATTTATTATGCCATGTGATTTAGAAGAAACCAGATTATAATTTAGGTAGAAACTTCACCTTTCTCAGCTTAAACTCCATTTTTAAGCTCCCTCTAGAAATTCCTTATTTAAATTACTTAAATACAAGTAAAAAATAGCGGTATGTTCTCTCTTTAAGATAACCCTCTTTTTTGCAGAGCAGTTGAAATGGAGAAGAGACAGAAAGCATGAGCTTCAACAGCAATTCCCAGCCTTCCTCTTAAAGTGTGCCATGGTCTTCTAAAGGACTCCCTTTTCTCTCTTTGCCAGGCTTATAATTTCTACTCAGCCAACTTCCAGTTTTGACACTCCCTAGGAAGAAACTGCTTCCTTAAGGCAAGAATAACACACACCTTCTCTGCCTTTCTCATGACTGACTTAGAACAAAAGGAAAAATTCCTTTAATCGCAACACAGACAGTCATGGACAACATCTCTCTTCTTTCTTTGGAGTTGTGTTATTTTATATGGTTGACAGCAAACCAACTCCATGGGAATCATACAACAGATGCTTTATGTTAGTTGCCAGTTTTCTTCCACCTTATATGATTACAAACTACACATTAACAATGCATCTGGCAGAATTGATTTATCTCTATGTCCATAGTGTATTCATTTCCTCTTTTAAACCTGACTTCTTAGACATTGGTAGGTTGTGTGAAAGGGCCTCCAGTGCAATGACTCTTTTTTACTTCTAGGTTCTTCTTGACTTTGATTGCTGTTGATACTTCAGGATGAATGGAGTCCAGCCGCTGCTCACACTGGAATGCTGTGAGAAAGGCCGTCCTGTAGTTGTTATTCATCCAGCCATAGAGAAGGGGGTTAGCAAAAGTCGAGCACATGGCAATGACATGAAACACTGTATAGATCAGTTTGTATTCTTTTAGATTTAACACCTTGCTATCAATATCACTGACCAGCTGGAAAGTGTGAAAGGGAAGCCAGCTTACAGCAAATACCACCACCACACACACCAGCATCTTGGTGGTTTTTCGCCGCCGTTGGTGATACTGGTCATTCCCAGCCGCAGGGCTTACATGATTCTTTAGTTTGGTCCAAATGCGTATGTAGGCATAAGAAATGATTGCCAAAGGCAAAACATATTGTATAAGGAGCATGGAGACACTGTAGATGGTGCCATAGTTCAGCTGTCCTTCATCAGGCCACTTTTCAGAGCAGACCACAATTTCAAAACCAGGAATGAGCTCAATCAGAAAATACTCACGGAAGATGGCCAGGGGACTGGCTAAGAGGGCACTGACAGCCCAAGTGACCCCAATGATCAGGAAGCTGATCCGCTTAGAGATTTTGCTCTCTAAATGATAGACTATACAGCGATGCCGATCCAAGGCAATCACAGTCAAAGTGACAGTAGACACATGTACTGCAAGACCTTGGGCATAAGGCACCAGGTGGCACAGTTGTGGTCCCAGTTTCCATTCTCCTAATAGTGTGTAAACTAAGGTAAAGGGCAGGCACAGTGTATTCACCAGCAGATCAGCTACTGCCAGGTTGGCAATGAAGAAGTTAGTCACAGTCCGCATGCTTTTGAACTTGATAACCACATGGATCACCAGGGAGTTGCCGATCACCCCCAGTAGGATGATAGAGCAATAAGCAAAGATGAGTATGATTTGCACTTCAACCAACATGGTGCTGTCTTTCAGTTCTGGTTTGGGGTCAGGTGCCAGCTCACTTAGGGGTGTGGTGAGTCTTGGCACGTATAGCCTAGTGAAGAGCTCCATTTTCACTTCATCTGTCTGGTTTTCTTCACCCAGCGTCCCCATTGGTCCCATCCTTGCAGCAAGCTGCACTAAACAGTACAGCTGTTTCTGAAAAAATCAAGAATGTATAGGAAAGAAGAGTAAACTGAAGGTTGTACATACAGAATTTATTGGAACTGTACAGATGAAAATATTTAGAATTAGCTATCAGATTTTGTGGTTGCTAACATAGTCTAGTCTAAAATAATACAATAGCTAGTTTAGGAGGAAAAAAGGCCATTACTTCTCATGCTTTATAGTACAAATATCATTAGAGAGAAGAATTAAGGAAGGTGTTTTCCCAAGATTACAGCACTGCTCAATTAGATGAACTGTTTAGAGGTTATGCCCTTCTCTGAATCTGCATATATTGGCCACTATTAGAGACAAGATATGAGACCACAATAGATGGGTCAGTGATCTATTCCAAGACAGCAAATGCTATTTCCTTATACCTAAAGTTATAATTATGCCCTCCTTTATCCTACATCCTAGAATGTTTCAGAATTAAAATAAGATCTTTTGCCATATGTTCAAACTTTCTCACTCCTATGAATATGAAATCTTTATCTGAAAAAATGGGACAGGTTTCAAATACATTTTAAGGACAGTGGCGCCTTAAAAACTGCGAAAAGATTAAGATCCAACTAGGCAATGCATTCTTTGTTAAAAATAAGTGCCTAAAATTTCTAGTGACTTCTGCACAAAACTTTCATTAATACCCACAAGAATTCTACATGTGGATAAATGATACTCTACCGCTGAATAGCAGCACAGCGAGTTTCTACACTCTCACTAACAGAAAGAATGACAAATGTTTCCGAAAAGTATTTCTGAAATTCAGCTTTTAGTTGTATATTATTATATTTCATCATATATTATCATACCTCTATGCTAATCTATCCTAGCTGGACTAACTCCAGAAGCTTTTGTTCAAGAAAGCTAGTGTCACAACTGCACACTACAATAAAAAAGCCAAGAGAGTGGAAAGAACAGTAATTATCTGGATTAGTTACACCAACAGAGCTCAGCCTCTTAGAGCAGCAGGCCAGGGGATTAAGAACAGGTCTCACTGTGGGCCACCACTCCCCTCTGGTGGTTGTAGGAGAGGAAGAGACAGGGAATGTAGGTGGCTGCCAGTGTCAGAGGAAGAGAAGAGGGGAGAGAGAGAAAAAGACCTTAACCTCTGGTAGCGCTGTCTGCCTGCCAAAGGGAGGGGAGGGAGAGAGTAAACAGCACCTGCTGCAGGGGAGGGGAAAGGAAGAGAGAAGGGAGGGTTGTGAAGTGGAATCAGCAGAAGGATGAAGGGTAGAGGAGGACATGCACTGATGCTCCATGCCATGTGGCAGATCCAGTCACTTTGGGGGCCAGAGCAGTGGTGAGCACCACTAAACTATATAATCCATTAACATTGAAATGAAATCAAGAAACAATTAAAACTGAAATATAAGTAATATGTATTGTAGAATGTCTGCAAAATCTCAGTGTTTCTCTCCGTGGAAGTTACCACCCAGGGGCTCTTTTCTGATCACAATGAAAGAGAACAGTCAGTCAGACCCTGCTCCTATTGAGCACTGATATTCCACTGATATCAAAATCATACTTCGGTTCCTTCCCTGTACATACTAACCAAGATTATGTTCAATCACAGCTATGCAGTTGTATGGCCTCAATGGACTTACAACTAAGCATAAATTGGAGCACTATATTTCAAGAATGTAACTGGTAACTTGTAACTTGGAGTAACAGAAGCATAGATAGCAAGCAATTTCAGTGCCCAGAGCAGAGGTAAGTGGGGAGGAAATTATGCTGACCACTGGAGAACAGGTAGGGAAGGGGAGGGGAGGAGAGGGGAGGGAAGGAGAGTTTTACTTGCCCTGGCTCTCCTCAACTTGGGCAGCAGCTACTACTGCTGCTGCTGCTGTATCAGTGTGGATTCAAGGTGCTCCTACTGTGAGACAGGAAGCAATGCAGACTAGCCCATGGTTACTCCTGATACCCCATTTGCTCCCCCTCCCCTCTCCCCGAGATGCAGAACTATGCTCCCCAAGGCAAAGCCTCTGTGGAGGGCATCATTCAACCCATGGTCAACTGGTGCCTCCTGGGTCTGGGAGTATACCCACAGAAGCTGCCGGCAGTGTCATCGGCAGGGGCAGAGCTGGTGAGCATCTGCCGGCAGCAGGGATGGCCCTGTTAGGGGGGCACATTGAGCACCCTCAGATTTCACCACCGGTGGTGGGGATGGCCCTGTCAGGGGGGGCACATGTCCCCCCCTGAAACCCCCCTACCAGTCGCCTATGTTTCAACACACATTCCCCCCCAGATACACATGGGGTTGTATCTGCCTGGCTCCTATAGTCAAGCTGCACAGGACTGTGCCTACCATGGCAGACTCCTTGTGGGAGAGGACTATACTGGTACCCCTTCTAAGCCAGCACCCAGATGAGATGACTAGACCTTAGTTGGAAGAGTAAGCAGGAACTGTGCACCTGCTTTCAGAGTCTGCCAGGAACAATGAGTAAGAAATGGCCAGTTTTCATTCTAACCTGCAACACACTGAGCAGCACAACTGAAGTATCATTCAGTGTCATCACTTGTTACTGGTAGAAGTGCGGGTATCACTGTTTGTTTCAATGACAGACAAGCCCTGTAGAAGCCAACTCTTCCCGCCTCCAAATACAAACGTTCCAAAGCAATGGGGAAGCAGGGAGAGAACTGTGCTTCCTTGCTTCCCACGGTTACACCAGCGGCCTTGAGCATAGGTCTGCCTAATGACACAATCTATCCCTTAATGCCTGTGATTTTATACTGATTTTCTTTAGTGGATTCACTAAAGCATAGACCTTTCCCCCTCCTTTGCATATAAAAGTACATCTTAGATGTGATTTACTATATTAGCTAGATTGTCTTTATATGTGTTGCTGCATCTTGTGGCTGGTCAAGTAGACGTTCAACTAGTGTTCCCTACCATCCTTCCCCCAACAGATGACTTAGCCCTGCACTAAGCATGCATGCCACTCAGGATCACAGACAGAATTTAAATGGAGACCCTTGTGGTTCAAAAGCAGTTCTTGACTACATGAGCTGAAAAGTAACTTTGTTCTAGCTAAGCCAGTAAGAACTGTGCTATGCTTTTTATTTAGCCTAAATTTACTGTACAACAAAAGTAGGTTTAAGCCTGATATATGTGACACTGTTCAGACAGCTGTTCATAGGGGTTCATCCTCAAATCCTTTTTAATGGGATCAGTTCCACAACTTCAGAGGAACTACTTGTCTGAACAACCATGGCAGGATTCGGATTCTAATTAGCATAATGTTAGTCAAATGTAAATGATATATTGTATAATTTACAAAGATAAAGCTATGTAAAACTTCAGAACTCTGCTGTATCTGCCTTTTTCTTCCAAGAATATCCCTATAGCTGAGAACTATTTGTGGATGCTACTAGACTGGAGATTGGATAGAAATCCAATACTCTGAGTCTCCAAAAAATCTCAGGGTTTTATACTGGGGAACAGGGGTAGATACAGTATATATCACAGAAGGACATTCCTATGGGGGAGGGGGGAGAGGGGTGGGAGTTGCAGGATTTCTGCTCTTTGCTTAATAAGAAATTGGCCAGACTTTGGGGGGAGGCTGGTGGGACTCATCAGTCTCAAATCACTGCATCATAGAGTCACAGAGAAGTAGGGCTGGAAGGTACCTCCAGAGGTCATCTAGTCCAACCCCCTACCTAAAGCAGGGTCATCCCTATCCAAACCATCTCATATAAACCATCATCTAAACAAGAGGCGGGCAATTATTTAGGATGGAAGGCCACTTAGGGAGTTTTGGTGAGCTGTCACAGGCCAGATAAGCACCCACCCCCATGCCCTGTGTGCCAGGCCAAGTCAGCACCCCCTCCACCCCAGGCCCCCAACAGCTCTCCAAAACTCCTTCACTGGCTCTGCCCCGCACTAAGCTGGGCAGATGGGATGGGACCATGGGCAGGCAGGGAAGAACATTCAGGAGCAGAACAGGCGGGAAGGGCCAGGGCTAGGGCCAAGGCTGGGACTGGGATCACCGGGGCCATGACAGCACAGGGCCGGAGCTTGAGACAGAGGCATGATCTGCTGCCTGAACGCCCCTGCAGGCACTGGTTCCAGTGGCATGCAGGGAACAGATCACAGCTCTGCCCCAGGTCCCAGCACCAAACTGACACCACTCAGTGATCCCAGGGTCTCCACAGAGATTGGCCTGGGACCTGCGTAGGCAGGGCATGCTTTGTCAGGCAGATGGGTTGGGGATGCAGGTGGGTGGGGAGCAGCCTCTGGGAGAAGCATAGATGGGCAGGCCTGTGGCCGGAATCAGGATTGCGAAGCTGTGACAATGCAGGGCCAGGACCTGGGGCAGTGTCACGATCCACTCCTCTCATGCCCCGGCCCCTGGAACTAGCGCCTGTCATGGGGACAGGTAGGGAGTGGATTGAGGTTCTGTCTTGGACCCCGGCCCCATGTTGGCACCACCCTGCAATCTCAATCCCAGCCCCTGCCCTGCCTACCTGACACACTCCTGGATGCTGTTCCCCAGCCACCTGCAGCCCCATCCTATCTGCCTGGCCAAGTGTGCTCTGCCCGTGCAGGTCCTAAGCTGGTATCCATTGAGACCCTGCTTGCCTGCTCCATCCAGAGCCTCCAGTGGTGGGTGCAGGACAGACAGGTTGGGCAGCAATGCCAGCAGCAGACACAGGCAACAGCAGGCTGCGTCCAGCTGCTGTGCTTCCCCAGCCCTGCTACCCCGGGGGGAAGCAGGACCTGCCATACCCTGAACTGCCCCTTGCGCCAGGCAGGGCAATGGAACCCACCACAGGCCTCCACAGGCCATATTTTGCCCACCACTGATCTAAGCTTTACATAAGACTACCGTCAACCCTAACACAACAGAGACTGACATCCTAACCTGCCACAGCTAAAGCAGAGGAACCATGGCTGCCAATGTCTTGCTTCTATAAAACGCTGTCAATATACACTCAGAAGGTCCTGGGTAGAGCAT